CCGGCACTACGGAACGTTTCATTGCAATCTTTACAAACCATCTGTTTCTCTGGGCACACCTGTCTTCTATGGGATGTGAGCTAGACAGGAGAGAAGTAAATGGTTATGCACAAACATTAAGCACAAACACATAAAGCTAGAAACTGATTCATTCTGCTGTATGTTCTAAATTATACTCACTTCAGAGAACGTTTTAAAGCTCTCTTTGCAGTGAACACATTTGAAGGGCTTGTCATCCTTGCTGTGTGTTGGCTGATGCTGCGTCAGTTCCTCAGATGACAGAAATGTGCGGTCGCACACGTAGCATGTGAACAATGTGTTTCCCTGAGAAAAGATGACCAAAAAGAACGGGGAGGAGAAACATTTAAAACCTTATGTTTTGGACATATAGTTGTGTGAAGGCTCCTTTAGCGAAAAACGGGTGTCTACGGACTCAACCGAAGCAATCTGGTGCCTTGAGGAGTAGTGTATAATGCGAAAGCTATGTAGTGTAACCTGCACTATGGTGTCATTTCAGTGGGTCGGACGCCTCCCGATTTTCTTCGCTGCAGTCATTTTCAAAATGAATGAGGATGGGTTAAGGCTGAGGAAGTCTGACTGTGCAGGCTTTTACATGACAAAGGGTGCACAGGGATTTCCAGATGACATGGGACTCAAAGACGGAGATTTCTGCAACGGTGATACAGAAGATCACTAATGGACAAAAGAACCATAACAGCACGTAATGTAACGTGCGAAGCAACTAATGAGGCGAACACAAATGGGACATTACTAGCCCTCGGAATGCTAACATTTGCAACACCAGGGCAATGTGTGCAATATTCTGCTTGGTGCAAGATGCTACACACATAGGCTGAACTTAAAGGATGATCTAGTGACTTGAGAAAGTGATTACTCTTGATAAATTGTTCTCAAACACATGGGGTGTTTTTACAGATCGATGTTCTTCAACATAAACTGGAACATCCCTATTTCTTAGAGTAACTTTATCCACCAAAGGAGGACTTTGTTTATGGGTCAATGGCAGCTAAAACCACAAAAACCCCACAAATCTGTGGTTTTAAGTTTCATTATTGCAAAATTGGAAAAGAAATTAAAAAGAAAAATCCCAACTATCCATCATTGAGCAGGGTTGAACTCTGGTGAATAGATTAAGACACAAAAAGGTCATCAATTTAGTTAAAAATGACACACTCTGTTCTTCTCACCTGCTGAAGCTGCTGCTTGTATTCCTCCCGGTGGCTCTTCTTCATGTGTCTCTCCTTGGCTTTTGCACTGCAGAACGTGATGAAGCATTGGAAGCACTGCAGGTTTTCATGCTGGTCTGAATCCACAACAGAATGTCAAATTTATTATGTGTTGTTGCTTTTAGGAAGCTGATTTAAAAGGTATGATCGCTGCATCACTCACAGGAATGAACCGAGGGAGCCGGAGGTCCATTCAGAGTGATGGGTTTGTATGGTTCTGCCGGCTTTTCCGGGGGAGCCTCGGGTGGTGGATCCGGCAAGCCCCGTCCCATCACGATCTCCTCTATGTTCAAGATCTCCGAGTCCATGGTGCGATGTTCCCTGTTCTTCCTGGAGTCAATTTAAAAACAAAAAAGACACGAAACAAAGTTTAATTACCACGTGGAACAAACACTAGTTTAATAAACAGCGGGAAACATAACAGCGCCAGAAACGCAGATATGTGCTCATTACGTAAAGTTCAACAGCTGACTATACAGAAAAATAATCGCCTTACTAGGTTGGTTACTTACGTTGGTTGAAATAACGCCAATGCAACAGTTTTAGAATGAGCCGCGTATAAAACCCAAAGGCCGTGAAACTGTTAGTCCGCGGGAATTACCCAAGTTTTAGCCACTGTTAGCTAACGTTACCGTAACATTAAGGCCGCTAGCCATGCTAGCTACCTCCACACAGCTCTGCAAGTGGCAGACATTGCTCACTTCACGAAAAGAGCCTTGATATATCCACGCGGTAAACTGAGTGCGTTTCAATAGCACACAACCGCCTTAGTTAAATGTTTATTTTAACGTTAATAACAAAAGTACCGTGCTAAGTTAGCGCGCTAACGTTAGCTAGCTCACTACTAGTTTGCAGGTTGGCGCTAACAACACTGATTCCCAGAGAGGACCACAGAGTTTCCGTGTCCCCTTTTTTTTTTACACGCTAGTTTTGAACTCATCTTCTGAAATTTAAATGTATCTGCCGCGAATCATTACAAAACAAGCTAAGACCTAAACGAAAGGCAAATAATTCGACTAAGAAGCTAGAGTAGCCATTACCTCTAACCGCTCTTTCAGGGTAGTTTGACTGAGAGAGTTGACCCCAGAGAAGTGCAACCGATAGATCGGACACTTCCTGCTGTGTGGTGGCCGTCGGTACAGCTAAGATGGCTGCCTGGAAGTATTCGATGTTGTTATTGATTCATATTTAGATGCAAAATCTAAATGGTCGTATATGAGCAAGCCGAGTTTACCCAACGCTAATATACAGAACACAAGTTTTATCACATCGCATACGTGAAGAAATAAAACTTTCAATTTAAAACAAAATTCATTAACAATGTTACTGCGCGGACTACTATTACAGTAATGTTATTTTCTGACTCTTACATGCTATTTTACTTAGATAACTAATACAATCAACTACAGCATACACACGGGCAGAATTGTTTGAATAAATCTTTTCTATTAAGATCGATTCTATGCTCGATCTTTGTCACGTGACACAAAACAACTACATACTGTAGTAATCGTTCAGCGTACTACTGTTTTTAACATATACTGAACACACACACGCGCAGATGGAGTTTTGTACCGCTAATGATTAAAACTGAGTATCTGGTCTACAGATTCCTTTTTTTCATCTTGATGTCTTTTGTAACTTGAATTTACTTTTTACCACCAGTTTGTAAAATTTACTGTTATAGCTGAATTATTTCATTATTCCACCGCTCATTTAATCGTATTCTGCTTTCAATGAGTCAGACTTTCATGTAATTTTTAAAAGTTGCCTTTAAAAGCGGTCTAGTTCTCCAGGCTTTCTGAAGGTCTTTCAAAGTTTTTTTATTGGCCATTGACTGCTTTTTCTCTTTCACAGTTCAGGCCTTACATCTCAACATTTTCAGAGGAGTGTTTCTTGTTGTTTGTTAAGCCACTTCACATTGATCTAAGAATAATTCAAGCATAAGAATGTACCTAATTCAATTGGTGAGCTGATTTTGTGTATAGAGAAAACAGAAAACTTAGCAAAGGACCAATTTATATTGCACCAACTAGGTAATTCCCAAACAAGGTTATTATTACTAAACTAAAACTAGATGCAACAATTTTTTAAGGCAATTAAAAATTAAAACTAGATTTAAAAAGAAAATGTGTGAGCTATTGTAAAACTCTTTAACATGAAATAAAATCTAAAGAAAATGTTTTTTATTATAATAATTTTCTGAAATCTTGTCTCTAACGAATACTAATAATTAACAAACTCTAATGCTTACACCTAAACTCATAAAAAATATCAAAAACTAAAGATTTATAAACAGTAAAAGCTAAACTGAAACAAGAAAATCCACTCTGAAAACTAAATGAAACTAATCTAAATAAAAACAAAAAGTCAAAACGAAATACAAATAAAACGAATTTGAAAATGAAAACTATAATAATTCTTCACAAAGAGCTTTTAAATAACAGACAAACAGTATCTAAAAGTGACATCCTTAGTGGTGGATTTGGCCCTTGACTTCATCAATCTACTGTTCAATCTCATCAAAAATGGTCTCAGTGAAAGCCTGGCTGCCAAGAAGCCATTCATAAGGAAGGGAAACAGGGAAAAAGGGCTGAGGTATGTCAAGTTACTGGCCTGAAAATCAGTGAAGGCTTTGTCATGGTCTAGTCCAAAATTTAACTGACAGCATTGGTGATTTGAATGGCCTATATTTGTATAGCGCTTTACTTAGTCCCTATGGACCCCAAAGCGCTTTACACTACATTCAGTCATCCACCCATTCACACACTGGTGATGGCAAGCTACATTGTAGCCACAGCCACCCTGGGGCGCACTGACAGAGGCGAGGCTGCCAGACACTGGTGCCACCGGGCCCTCTGACCACCACCAGTAGGCAACAGGTGAAGTGTCTTGCCCAATGACACAACGGCCGAGACTGTCCGAGCTGGGGCTCAAACTGGTAACCTTCCGATTACAAGACAAACTGCCAACTCTTGAGCCATGATCGCCCCAATTTTATCAACATTGACTGAATTATGAATGCAGCATCAGTACCATCAGATTGTTTTTGTTCTCACCATGTAATACCACCGGAAAATATTCTGATTGGCAATTGCTTAATTGTTCAGCATGACAATGACCCAAACCCACTTCCAATGCATTAAAAGCATACCTGGATTAAAAAAAAAAATAAAAAAATCAGTCATGGATTGGCCATTTTGATGTGTTTTTGTAACTTGAATTAATTTTTTCCACCAGTTTGTACAGTACTCTGTAATATACTGTATTTCAAACCTCATACAGGCATGCATCGACTGTGTGCTAGTATAGATTTTCTTTTAGTCATTTCAGTTTTCACTATTGTTACGCGGCATTAGTGGAAGATGGTCTAGTGACCGATGCTCTTTAATTTCTGTTATTGTTGCAGTACTGTGTCCTACTTGGTTATTTCAGTACACAAGAGCTTTAATATGTTTTGGCACATTTTTCTTTTGTACTTGTAAGCAGTCCTCAAATGAATAAATGAACATTTGTCCTTTATTGTTTTCTAAAACTCAAATAAATGATACTTTAATAATAAAACTCGGAGCCAAAAAATAAGCTCACTGTAGAATGTAAACTAGATCAGGTGAAAATAAATAGTTGAGGGCAAAAGTATCATGATGGCCACAGTGAAAAAAAACAAACAACTTTTTACACTTCTTTTCCAGCACAGTGTGTGGCTCTGAGTCTTTTTTTCTTTCTGAAGCAAATTCTTTTTTTATAACTCCTAAATGACATATTAAGATTTTTTTAAAATGCATCACAACAGCCCTATAAAAGCATGACAGTGAAAGGCAGTGAGTTTCCCTACACCAAAAACACAGTTACAATCAGAGATTGGTAAATTCTGTAGCAGATACTACTCTTTTCCCAAACTTCCCTGATTATGGAAATTCAAAAAGCAGTTGTGGTTACGTGAGATACAAAGAAAGACACAGCACTTGAGGCATAACACTCGTGATGTCCTCTGACAGTCCCCAAAACGGCACCTGCCCCCCTCTCCCTCTCCAAGCTGCTCCGGCCAGTGACCTGAACCGTCATATCGTGTGGCTGCGTCTGGCAGAGGACTCTCCTCCACCAGGATGGGACTGCGGGTTTCATTTGTTGTGTGAACCTCTGCTGCCGGCGGCTGGGGAGGAACTGAGTCTTGGGTATCCGAGCTACTAGAGAAGATCAAAGCCTTGGACACTTCCAATCTGAAAGCCATGAGAGTCAAAGGTGGCACGGATGCTCTGAAATCCTGTCGATACAGGAGCCAGGAGTTTACCAAAGCCAGATCCGTGAGGTACCAGAGCACTGCTTGGGGCCAGCAGCTTGGTGCAGAGGCCGTGAGGGGAATTGCATAAAGATTTTTCAGTTCTCTGTGGAGACGGGCCGACATCTGGGCTTTCTCAAAGTTTTCAATGAGAAAGGCCGCGCTCCTCTGGCCATTTCCCGCAGTAGAAAGTATGAAGCCACAATGGGATCTGCGCAGCATCAACTTCCCATCTGAGCTCACAAACTCATCACCGATCTGTCCTCGAGCCCCTCCCACCCTGCCTGCTCCATGAACCCCAGCAGCTAAAAGGCGTTCGAGCATCACAGGGGTGGACAGTTCCTGTTTGCAAAGGAACACCATACTACCTTTGGGGACCATTTTTTCTACAGCACCTTCTTTGTCTGAGAGATCCACCTTAAGATCGACATGTAAGAGTAAGCCGTCAAATCCAATTAAAGCAGTGCTGTAGAGAGACAGTTTGTTGTTGTGCACCTTCCCAGTGAGAGGAAGTGGATATTGGTCAACTGCATAATCGCCCTCTCGTCTTAATGACTGGCACCCTGCTTTGAAACGACACAATAATGGATGAACTTTCCACAGGGGATCAGCCTGTTTTGAACCATCTGAGCCATTTGCCTCGTCACCACATTGATCACTATCACAAGTTCCTTTGTGGGGATTAGCGTTGGCTGGATACTTTGAAGAAGTCAGCTTCAGCGTGCGAGACAGCTCGAGGAAACGGGACAACGGGATGGCTTCAGCAATCAACGGCACCTTAGTCAAGTCTTCCCAGTAGAGCTTTGCACTGGGAAACTAAGAAAGTAACAATAGAAAAATAAATAAAATTAGGTTTTAGCATCTAACCAAAAATGAGGTAATAATTTCAGTAATCAGACAGGCAGAAATACAAACCTTCAAAGTTCCCATTGCGATGTGGATCCCAACAAAGCGTGCAACTTCCCTGGCCGTGACAGCGTCAGGCATGTTGGACAGTTTATTTGTACAGTTGGCAAGTTCTACCCAGGTATCCCAACCAAAGTACTTAGAGAAGTAATCAATGGGCTCTCTGGTTCTGTTGCCATCTCTTGGTGCATTAGACGGGATCACGGATGTTGGCAAACTAAGGGGGGAATAAAGTCAAAAGAACATCAAGAGCAAATCTTACATGTATGTAACAGAGGAACAACGGCAATAATAGAAAAAAAAAAAAAAAGAAAGATATTTAGAGTTATTTCTAGGGCTGGGCCATATCATACCATTCACGGTAATACCGGTATGATGTCGGGCAACGATAAGAAAATGATAAGAAGATAAGAAATTATACGTACATGGCAGAAAAAGCATGGCAGCAACGGAGAATGGGAAGGGCGAAAGCGGATCGTTGAATGAAACAGATGAACCAGACCTGGTTTGTTAAAATGCTGCAACTTCAGTGGTGTGGAACTGGTTTGGCTTTCGTCCGTCAGATACACAACAAAGCACAATTTTTGGTAGAGCATGCAAGCGGGCCATTGTTATTACCGTGTTTTACGGAAAATAAGTTGCTCTTAAAATCCTTTGATTTTCTGAAGAAAAAAATAAATAAAAAATCGACAGTGCCCCTTATAATTCTTATGTATGAATTCTGGTTGTGATTACTGACCTCAAACAGATTTTATGTGGTACACGGCGCTCAAAAATCTGTAAAAAATGTTTTAGTACAACTTTGCTAAGCTATGAAGCCGCACAGCTTGATGGATTGTCAGAGCATTACGGCTACCGTAGGCAGGAACCTCGCGGAGTGATACGTACTGTGCTTCAACATAATATTACTGTATTGTGTGTGTATAACCTCTTTTTAAGTTTTGTGGATACTATGCATGGTTACGCTGAGGATATGTCGGCCAATTTCCACTGGAAATGCCTTTTGGTTAAACTGCCAGCAAAAAAAAATTGCATTTTCACTGTTAAATTTTTATGTAGCTTTAATGCACATAAAAATAAATAAATAAATAAATATAAAAACAGCTGCTCGTTTAAGTGAAAATGCATTAACAGTGCAAAAAAACCATCAAAGTTGCGGAGTTGTAAAGTAGTTTTGTAAAAAGTTTTGTCTTGCGTAAATTATATCATCAGTTATATCATTATCGCAAATTTTCAAATATATATCGTGATGAATATTCTTGGCCATATTGCCCTGCCCTAGTTATTTCTATGGATAATAGTTTTGTAGACTCAAAGAAGGTCTTACTGTACCTTTGCGATGAGTGATCCGACTGTTGTGCACTGATGGCCGAGTTCTTGGAGAAATAGGCCATTACTTCTGCTTCTGAATCAAGCTGAGGATCTGACAATTCAAAGCCACCCATATCCTCTTCATCGGGACTTTGGAGGAGAAACTCACGAAGATCTGGTAGGTGAATGGTAAATGGCCTGCATTTGTATAGCGCTTTACTCAGTCCCTAAGGACCCCAAAGCGCTTTACACTACATTCAGTCATTCACCCATTCACACACTGGCAATGGCAAGAACAGCCACAAATGGATGTTCCAGCCATTTGTGGCTGGAACATCATTCACTATGACTCTGAGGTGCTGCCACTCAGAGTCTGACACAGCTAAAGGACAGATTTATTATGTAAGAGGATCATCTTAAGTTTTATTGACATCATCAATAAACAGCTTAAGAAAATCTCTCAAATATAAATACTAATCATTCCACAAAAGGGAACAAACCTTGTTGCTCGATGACCTCAGGATCTGAAAAAAGACCTTCGACTCTTGTTTCCTGATAGTCTGGTACAGAATGGATCGATTCACCTGTTTAAACAGACTCAAAATTAATATATAAGCCTTTAAGTAGTATTTGGAGAATACCAAATATAGAAATCGATAAAGTCAAGTCTCTACCATTTCTATAACTGAAAAATACTGGCGATCGTCAGTGCAACCCCTCAACCTGCTAGTAGACACACCTATGTCATCAATTTGAAAATCTTATGTGGTCCTTGTCATCACAATCACAAAACTTTCAGAACTTACTCTGACCTTGGTCACTGAGATTTTAACTCATCCACAATTTTTAGTAGCTGCACTGACAGTAATAATTTGAAAATCCTCATCTCTACATTCTCAAGTTACTGCATTGACCAGATTTTCAGAAAAGCTGATCTCTGAACTTTAGGCCAAGGTCACCAAGATCCAAACTCATCCAAGGTTTTTAGCAAATAAACCTGTGGTATCAGTTTGAAGCTACTATGCAATTATTCACAGACTTAGGGGTCAACGCTGCCCACCCGCCCATCCAGCAGGGTGATGACAATACCCCATCAGCCTTTTACGACTGAGGATTAAAAATGGTGGATTTCAAAGTAAGTGGAGGTGGAGGTCGAGTGAGTTACTCACGTATATCACAATCAGCTGTTTGACTTTCTGTCTGATTTGCATCGTGGGATCCCTCTGGGTTTCTGCTGGTCCCAGCAGATTCTACTAGGACCTCTCTCTCCTCCTCCTTTATTGGATAGAAAATACACTGGCTGGTGTTGAACTCTGGTAAGATGCAACAGTCCGTTGTCCTCTCCCCAACCTCTACTGCTAAAATACAAATCAAAGAACATGATTTAACATGGCACAGTGGTTTTCCAAGAATTATACTCATTAGCCAGAAGGTGATTAGCCATGAGTGGAATCAGAGGTGACAACAGTTAAACTTTGGTTTATCCAATAATCAGAAATCCTGTTACTCTCAAAAAAAGTAACATTTGATTTAAAAAAAGAAAAAAGAAAAAGAAATCAAGAGATACTGTGCCAGGTGGTATGCAGACTGCAGAAATCAATAGTTTTATAATTACATATTGGTTGAGAAACCTTAATACTTACTTGGGATGACGGTATTTTCACTAAGTGCCTCTACATTCCAGCGGATGTGTCTGCTGCCATTTGTGGCTGGAACATCATTCACTATGAGGCTGCTTTCCTCTTTCACCAGAACAGTCCTTATATCGCGATGATGCAGCGGCTGCACGCTTGCAGTCTGTCTATTTTGACTAGTGGATGCAGTCAGTGGTTGATTCGAACTGTTCTCTTCAACCTTGATCTCATCACTTCCAAGAACTTGTACCTCATTTTCAGTGATGTAGCCCAAACCCTGTAATGAAAACAAGTCTTAAGTATGCAGTGTTGAATTCTATCTAACATAGCTGGTACTGCAAGCGTCTCACCTGTGCTTGATTGTCGCTTGCCATCATCAGGCACTGCTCCTTTTCAGCAGTCGCTCTCTGTCTAGAAGTAAGGAACTTCTCCAGTATGAGGCCTGGAGACTGGTCCATCACCTTATCTTGTTCCGTTCCTCCATGGAGCCCTCTTCCCTTCATTACTTCTTCAACACTCGTGGTAATTGACTCCAGCTCAAAGACGACTTGGTCTTCGGGAGATCCCTCTAACGTAGAGGGAATGGAAGGCAACAAAGCACCAGGAACATCTGCTTTGTTGATATTTAATTTGGAACTTGTCTCCGGCTGTGCTGTCTTTGTGCCGATCTCACAGTCAATCATTTCTGAATCTGAGGTTATGGGACGTTGATTTACAAAAGAAATCAAGAGATACTGTGCCAGGTGGTATACAGACTGCAGAAATCAATAGTTTTATAATTACATATTGGTTGAGAAACCTTAATACTTACTTGGGATGACTGTATTTTCACTAAGTGCCTCTACATTCCAGCGGATGTGTCTGCTGCCATTTGTGGCTGGAACATCATTCACTATGAGGCTGCTTTCCTCTTTCACCGGAACAGTATTGCGATGATGCAGCGGCTGCACGCTTGCAGTCTGTCTATTTTGACTAGTGGATGCAGTCAGTGGTTGATTCGAACTGTTGTCTTCAACCTTGATCTCATCACTTCCAAGAACTTGTACCTCATTTTCAGTGATGTAGCCCAAACCCTGTAATGAAAACAATTTCTTAAGTATGCAGTGTTGAATTCTATCTAATTTGTCTCACTTAGTTTCTGAATCATCTTTTTCCACTTGTGTTTTCATGCTTTTCCTCTGGGTGGCTTTGCTGATTAGCTTTCAATGTGCGCTCTCGGCCAAAGCTCTCCCCGCAGGTCGGACAGGCAAATCGGCCATTGGCGTGCGCCCGGGAAATATGGGCATCCAGCTGCTCTGGACGGGCAAAGCTCTCTTCACATTCTTCGCAGGGGTGGGCTTTCCGTGGGGCATGCTTCTTCTTCTTGTAAGCGCAGAGCTGAATCGAGCGGGGGAATGTGAGGTCGCACTCGGGGCACGGGTGCTGACGGGGTGGGGTCGGCTCTGCTTTAGGTTTCTTCTCCTTTGCTGAAGCCTGACTCTCGTCCTCGGGAGTTTTATCTTCCGTTTCTGACTTTGCTGTCACCTTCGAGGGACGGCCACGCTTTGCTCCGCCTGCTTTCCCTTTTTCTTCCGCTGGGGTTGCCATCGCGTCTGATGTGCTGCCGGCCTTCACGGTCTCCTCGTTAATGTCTGCTTCCTCTTTCTTTTTCCGCTTTCCCTTTTTCTCAGCACCTGCCGGGTCTTTGGCCTTGGCAGGCCGTCCGCGTTTCTTGACAGATGAAGTGCTGCCGTTGCACTGCTGACCTTCGGGGTATTTCTCCTGGTGTGCCATCAGCTCTGATTCAGCTTCAAATCCCTGGCCGCACTTCTTACAGCGATGAGTTTTTGTAGAATCCTCTGGCTGTTCTGTAGTCTCGACATCTGGGTGTGGATGCTGGGTCAGGCGATGAGCACGCAGCAGTCCGGCACTACGGAACGTTTCATTGCAATCTTTACAAACCATCTGTTTCTCTGGACACACCTGTCTTCTATGGGATCTGAGCTAGACAGGAGAGAAGTAAATGGTTATGCAACAGGTTAAGCACAAACACATAAAGCTAGAAACTGATTCATTCTGCTGTATGTTCTAAATTATACTCACTTCAGAGAACGTTTTAAAGCTCTCTTTGCAGTGAACACATTTGAAGGGCTTGTCATCCTTGCTGTGTGTTGGCTGATGCTGCGTCAGTTCCTCAGATGACAGAAATGTGCAGTTGCACACGTAGCATGTGAACAATGTGTTTCCCTGAGAAAAGATGACCAAAAAGAACGGGGAGGAGAAACATTTAAAACCTAAAGCTGCTATTAGGGACATGGAGTTGTGAACGCTCTTTGAGAGAAAAATGGGCTTCTACTCACTCAACTGGAATCTGGCACCTTGAGTGTATAATGTAAAAGCTATATAGTGTAAGTATGTCTGTGAAGGTTCTCAGTCGTCCAGGTCATCGTAGTCTAAAGAGCTTGGAAAGAAAAGCGTCTGGATTTCTTTAAGTTGCTTGAAGACGTTTCACCTCTCATCTGAGAAGCTTCTTCAGTTCTAGGGTCAAATGGTGGAGACTCACAGATTTAAGCCCTGTGGGAGTGTCCCCCCCCCCCAAGAGGGACAATGGGCCCCCTAACCATCTGTCTTCTCTATCCAAAATGTGTGAACATTGGCATCCTCAAAAGACAGATGGTTTGAAAGAAGCCATCTATGCCCACTGTGAAAGACCATTTTTGAACAGAAGCGGTGGCTTACGACACTGTCTGCCATCTATAATCCAGTTTGGAGATCCCTTCCCTTAACACAGACTCACATCCTTGGCCATTTGACCTCAGTAAGTCACATGACAGGGTGAGGCTAGGTTTCACAGTGGGTTCACCCGGAACCTTGGCTGATTGTGATCCACACCCGTTTTCACACCTTGGTTCACGTGATTACGTAAATCATCAATATGGGGGTCCATAACCCTCTTGGGGGGGGGGGGAAGAGACACTCCCATAGGGCTTAAAATCTACTCCCCACCATCTGACCCTAGAACTGAAAAAGCTTCTCAGATGAGAGGTGAAACGTCTTCAAGCAATTTAAAGAAGTCCAGATGCTTTTCTTTCCAAGCTCCTTAGACTATATAGTGTAAGCTACACTACGGTGTTGTTACAGTGGGTTGGACACGTCCCGATTTTTTTTTGCTGCAGCCATTTTCAAAATGAATGAGGATGGACTGAGGAAGTCTGATTGTGCAAGCTTTTACATGACAAAGGGTGCACAGGGATTTCCAGATGGCATGATACAGAAGATCACTAATGGACAAAAGAACCATAACAGCACGTAATGTAACGTGCGAAGCAACTAATGAGGCGAACACAAATGGGACATTACTAGCCCTCGGAATGCTAACATTTGCAACACCAGGGCAATGTGTGCAATATTCTGCTTGGTGCAAGATGCTACACACATAGGCTGAACTTAAAGGATGATCTAGTGACTTGAGAAAGTGATTACTCTTGATAAATTGTTCTCAAACACATGGGGTGTTTTTACAGATCGATGTTCTTCAACATAAACTGGAACATCCCTATTTCTTAGAGTAACTTTATCAAAGGAGGACTTTGTTTATGGGTCAATGGCAGCTAAAACCACAAAAAACCCTCAAATCTGCAGTTTTAAGTTTCATTATTGCAAAATTGGAAAGAAATTAAAAAGAAAAATCCCAACTATCCATCATTGAGCAGGGTTGAACTCTGGTGAATAGATTAAGACACAAAAAATTGATATATATATCAATTTAGTTAAAAATGACACACTCTGTTCTTCTCACCTGCTGAAGCTGCTGCTTGTATTCCTCCCGGTGGCTCTTCTTCATGTGTCTCTCCTTGGCTTTTGCACTGCAGAACGTGATGAAGCATTGGAAGCACTGCAGGTTTTCATGCTGGTCTGAATCCACAACAGAATGTCAAATTTATTATGTGTTGTTGCTTTTAGGAAGCTGATTTAAAAGGTATGATCGCTGCATCACTCACAGGAATGAACCGAGGGAGCCGGAGGTCCATTCAGAGTGATGGGTTTGTATGGTTCTGCCGGCTTTTCCGGGGGAGCCTCGGGTGGTGGATCCGGCAAGCCCCGTCCCATCACGATCTCCTCTATGTTCAAGATCTCCGAGTCCATGGTGCGATGTTCCCTGTTCTTCCTGGAGTCAATTTAAAAACAAAAAAGACACGAAACAAAGTTTAATTACCACGTGGAACAAACACTAGTTTAATAAACAGCGGGAAACATAACAGCGCCAGAAACGCAGATATGTGCTCATTACGTAAAGTTCAACAGCTGACTATACAGAAAAATAATCGCCTTACTGATTAGGTTGGTTGAAATAACGCCAATGCAACAGTCTTTAGAATCATCAGCGTATAAAAGCCAAAGGCCGTGAAACCTCTATACAGCATACACTTCACTAAAAAAAGCATTGATATATCCACGCGGTAAATTGAGGCTGTTTCAATTACAGATAACCGCCTTAGCTAAACGTTTACGTTAACGTTAATAACAAAAGTACCATGCTAGCTCAATACTAGTTTACAGGTTGGCGCTGACACCGACTCCCAGAGAGGACCGCTGAGTTTCCATGTCCCCCTTTTTTACATACCAATTTATTTATTTATTTTAAACTTATCTTGTGACGTTTACATGCATCTGCCGCGAATCAATACGAAACAAGCTAAGACCTAAACGAAAGGCAAATAATTCGCTACAAGCCATTACCTCTAGATGTCGCGTCTACGGTACCGAAAAGTTTACGGTGACTGCAGACAGTTACATCTTTTCATTGGCCCGGAGACTACGGTGACTGTAGATTCGGTAGACTCTGGCCCAATAGGAGCGCTGGCCCACTGTAGACTACCAATCGTCTTGCGTCACCAAAACAAGAACACGTGGCGGGACAGGGACTCAACCTGCAACTCAGCTATGTTTATGGAAAGTCGCATTTCTTTTATGTTTACGCTAAGTTATTGACTCTAAGACGCTGCTGGATTTAACTGAAGTTATACGCGGCTGAATAGCTTATTTAACTCTTTTACTATATGGATGCGGAAAGGCTGCGGAAAGGCTGCGCGTTAGCCAACATCCCATCCCCTTTTCAGTGGATACAATTGGTGATGGCAACATTTTTTTTATACCGTTACAAAAACAACAACAACAAAATAACCCATCGGCCCACCGGGCAAATGTCCAGTCCAGCTATGTACACAACTAATTTTCCAAAGCCCCTCACATTGCAGTCATAATCAAGTTCACTGATTGACTATACTGCAGTGCTGTTTTTGTGTATTCCTGTTTCATCGACTATAATAAAGTGCTCCGTGTTACAGTAACAGTGAGTGGTGGATTCATTTAATGAAAGCCTAAGTCGGTCTTTAGTCTGCTTTAGACTTACTGACCTTCTTTGAATCAGCATCACAATAGTCCTAAGGGCACTGACAAAACAATTATAAATAAATGAAATCTATAGAAAGAGAAACATGTTTGATATGTTTTTTAAGTTACACACAAATAGCATTCTCCGCTAACAAGCTCAGAAGACACAACTATATAGAAACACAGAACAGAACCAAAGAAGCAATGTGTACAATCGAGTGACAAAGACAAGTTTGTGAAGTATTTGTACAACACATGCCTGCAACAGCTTCAGTGTTTCCTGGAATTGATTCCGAAACACCAACAGAGCTATTATCTCTCTGTTATGTCAGTCAAATAATCAACTATTCAGTGACCCCTTTTAAAATACTTCGTCACCGGACAAAGTTAATCTCTCATAGCAACTTTGTACTGATTTTACACTATTTTCCCTTTGACAAGTGGACCCTAACATGGCAGCAAAGTGCAACAATGTCTCTCTGTGTAGGGGGTCAAGAGTTCAGGGTATGCCTTTAATTTCTTGCCTGTCTGTAAATGACACTGTAATGGTATGATTAATCCTTTAGATTTTACCAGTATAAAAGTGAAAGAATTACATTGTCTCATTGGTGCAACCTGAAAGACTCCCCTTACAGCTAGTCTTTGCATATTATAATAAGACAGAGAAAAGAAAGCAATTCATTCTCAATTTCTGTTAATTACAGGGTATTTTCCAACCTGTTTTGGTTCAAAAGAGCCAAAGGAAAATCCTCATCAATATTGACAAGTCCTATCGGCCATTATTCATTATGCATCACTTTGATGAGCACCAAATCTCCCACCTTGAGGTTTGCATGCTTATGTTGCCACTTGTTTCGGCTCTGCAGTGTCCCTAGGTACTCCTGTCTCCATCTGTTCCAAAATGTGTTTGCAAGGTATTGAACTTGCCTCCACTGCTGTCAATGGAGATCTTTCTCAATAAAACTTCCTGGAGGGGAGTAGTGCACACCTTCTGGGTGCCTGGCCTCTTCTTGTGCGCCTTGTGACCACAGGCCAAAGGCCAAATACATCCAAGCCCACAAAGGTGAAAGGAGGTTCGGTGCTGATACGATCAGGAGGCAGATCTGCCATTCTTTGCTCAGTTGCTCTCTTCCTAAGTCTGTTGCAGATGATACAGTTGTTGATAATCTGCTTGATTAGCCTCCTGGCTCCTGTAATCCAGTATCAAGCAGTACGGACTGCACCTTCTGTGAACAGGGGCGACCATGGCTCAGGGGGGTTGGGAAGCGTATCTGTAACCGGAAGGTCGCCGGTTCGATCCCCGGGCTCTCTGTCCTGGTCGTTGTGTCCTTGGGCAAGACACTTTACCCTACCGCCTACTGGTGTTGGCCAGAGGGGCCGATGGTGCGATATGGCAGCCTCGCCTCTGTCAGTCTGCCCCAGGGCAGCTGTGGCTACAACTGTAGCTGCCTCCACCAGTGTGTGAATGCGAGAGTGAATGAATAGTGGTATTGTAAAGCGCTTTGGGTGCCTTGAAAAGCGCTATATAAATCCAATCCATTATTATTATTAACACCCGTCCCTGATGCATTACTCGCTGGTGATGGTATTGTACTATCAACTTGGCAACGTGGCTGTCACCTGGAATAATGAGAGGATGTTTCTCCTTGTAGTCGATGTTAGCGTGTTTCAGCCTTCTGCCTGTCCTCAAGTGTCCTTCATTATCACAGTGGGGACTGATTTTCTGTAAAGAGCTTTGTTTTGGTATGTCTTTACTATCTGGTCGTTAAGTCTGACGTCACTAGCTGTGTCTGGGCCTAAACTCCGCTGCAGGTCCATATATCAAATGATCACTATGGCATTACTGAGAGTTGAAAAACTGTCTAAAGTCTTTCATCTTTAATAAAATGATCAGCGTTCTGCTCTACCAGGTGTAACAATTGAGTTTAACATCCAGGCATCCATGAAAACGGAATTTATGACATTTAAAGGAGTTAGAAGTTAGCAGGAAGTTAGCTCGCTAGCTTCTATCTAAATACAATATACAATTTTGCTTTCCCCAGAACGAAGCCCACATGATGGTTCTGATCTTCAACATTGGTCTTTAGGAAGGCAACTGCTGCAATGACTTTAGTCAAAGTGTTTGAAAAGATGTGTAACTCTTTTCTGATTGCTCTTGACATCGTAGCAGAAGCATAGGTTCCTCGGAATATGTACATTCTTGAGATCAACAAAAGATTCTTTCCACTTATTCCACTCAGCTTCCCTTTCTCCAGCCAGTAGAGTGTCCCAGTCTAGGGTCTCATTTGAAAGTTCTCTCAGTAGCATCTTTCCCTGCATTGTAACTGGCGAAGCAAATCCTATGGGATTGAAAAGACCATTTATTGTAGCTAAGGGACCTCTCTTTGTAAAGGGCTTCACTGTGTCGTAGTAACAGGTGCTGATGATTCCCACTGACAAGCGGCTGTGAGTAATGGATGCGTGAGTAGGTGAAGAGCCGAGAAGTTTAATCGCCTACGACGCAAACTGTGGTTTTAAACCTCTATAGATGAGGTTCAAGGTATAGGCTGTTTGTCTTCTAGTGTCCTTTTTTAAATTTTGTTGAAATGTATTTGATGTTTATTATAATTTATGTTTTAGTAGTGATTTCTGTGGAAGAAAAGGCCAAGACAAATCAGGTGTGCAGCAAATACAGTTGCCTACTCGAGGTATGTTAATGTAATATATCTGACATTAAAAAAAGGGAAAAAAAAGTCTATTATGCATTATAATTTAACTTATATTGTATTCCCTCCTGTAGGGCAGGCTGCACATGCGAACTTGTCACTGTTTTTTTTCCTCCTTCTCTGTATGGTTGTGTTTTGTTGGTTTTAGCAGGTCACCGTTTTTAATTATTTTTGTTGTTTTATTTCGGGTTTTGTTTATTTTTATTGGGTTGGTGCAATACTAAGCGGGCAACGTGCAATCCCTGAGTGGGGCTCATACCTCGGGGGAATGAGGATTTTTTAGTGGTGCTCTGTGTGTGGATTTGCCGTGATTAAGGTTCAAATGGTTCAATGGTTCAATGGTAACTTTATTGTCCCTGATGGGAAATTGATTCGCAGTATGTCAAAACAAACAACAAACATACAACCAACACATCACGTACACTCATTAAAAAAATACTATAATATAATATAAGCCTGATAAAACAACCTAGATATTCCATCGAAAAAAGTGCAATGTGCAATGGCAACAACACTTACAATTTAGTGTTGTTAATTAAGATAATAGCACTAGGTACAAATGACAATTTGTGTCGCTTTGTCTTCACTGCAGTCATTTTATAACGACGACCTGATGGAAGCAGTTGAAAATCGTTAAAGAGAGGATGATCTGAACACAACAGGACAGAAGTTGCCTTCCTCAGCACCTGCCTGTTATAAAAGTCCACAAGCTGGACCTGAGACCTCCCTGAAATCTTGCCCGCCACTTTAACCAGATTGTTAAGTCTGGTCTTATTATCTATGGACATACTACCGTACCAAGCAATGATACAGAAAGTTAAAACAGATTCAATAAAACTTTTATAAAAGAGAGTCATCATTTCAGATGAAACATTAAAACCTCTCAACCTCAAAAAGTACAATCTTTGTTGGGCCTTTTTCACTGTAGCAGCAAGATGTGACTCAAAGGACAGGGTCTTATCAAGAACAACCCCCAAGTACTTGTAACTATCCACCATTTCAATGGCTGCACCATTTACCACTGTAAGCGCAGGATGAGGGGATGACTTCCTGAAATCTATAACCATGTCCTTGGTTTTCAAGGTGTTAATCATTAAGAAGGACTGATCACACCATGAAACAAACTCCTCCACAACAGGCCCATGGGAATCCTCTTCACCATGAAGGAGGCTTACA